TGACTCACCTGATGAAGCATCAGCACTCCGACAGCTTGTGATTTCACATAAACCTGTTGGACTATAACCTGGTGTCATGCGACTTGACCATATCCTTCCAAACATTTCTTATTCATGTACTTATCTAAATGTCTACTAAACGTTCTAACTATATCCACATCCACTTAACTTCTAAACGATGACATTCAGATGGAGGATTTGAGCTATAAGGAGAGGCTGGATAGGCTGGTACTTTTTTCCACTGAAGCGCAAGAGGTTGAGGTTTCTAAAATCATGAGGGGTATAGATAAGACGAATGGCAGGTGTCTTTTCCCTAGGGTGGGAATTTAAAGATTATAAGGCATACTTTAAAGGTGAGAGGAGAAGGACTTGAGGGGCAATTTTTTTTTTAAAAACAGAGCGGTTTGAAACAAATTCCATTGACACCATCCTATCACTACTTCCAGGACAGGGACAGCACAGGGTTAAATACAGAGTAAAGCTCTCTCTACTTTTTTTAAACTGCAAGTAAACAGGAAGTTCCTTCTACATTGTTTTCATCAAACACTCCCAGGACAGGTACAGCACAGGGTTGGATACCAGGTAAAGTTTCATCTACACAGTCAAGAACCTTCCTCAGTCATAAAACATCTGAGTAATTATTTCACATGAAACACTGCCAAGGTAGGCTGAAATTGAGCCTGGAAGTTTCTGTATCTGCCTGGCTTAGTATCAATAAGTGGATATTCTTGTAAAACTGAGGCAGACATTTAGGAGACAAGATATCAAGGTTCCAGGTCTACCTGCCCACCACAGTCTACCTGACAGCTCTCTCAACCTACCACAGGAGGCTGCTGTATCACCAGAGGAACTCCAGGGCCAGACTTGATGCTCAGGCAGTTCATTAAACTGCACTTCCTGGGGGTCAGGAAAAGTTGAGGTCTCAACTGACATATCCTTTAAGAGCTCTATATTTTCAATTTAACAGGTCAAGTACTGCAGCTGAGTAGACTTCCGCCCGAGATGAGGAATTCAGGAACCGACCTCCATCACCTGCAGAGTCAAAGGCTGAACAAAAAAAAAGGATGGACAATGCAATGAGGTGAGAATCTAACTGGAGGCACGGACAGCTACACTACAGGCTGTGGGACAGAGCCACAGAATCCTGTATCATTCTGTATCGAGGCAGCAACAGCTGAAAGTCAACAATTGGCTTCAGCAGCTTTGGGAGGTGATTGGAAACCCAGAAGAGGCAATCCCATGCCTGATGCTCAACCAAAAGGCACCTACAATCTCTGATGACACGTCATCACTATGTCTGAGGACAGACCTTGCGGGGTGCGACAGCTCCAGGCACAGGGTCAGAAGCCACGGGAACACAGGAACCAGTGAAATTTCACTGGTGCTAGTGGAAGAGCAAACATTCACACCACACAAATGTCAGGCTATGACCATCACCAACAAGAGACAAACTAACCACCACCCCTTAACATTCAATGGTATTACCATCACTAAATCCCCCACTATCAACCCGCTGGGAAATTACCATTGACCAGAAGCTCAACTGGACTTGCCACATAAACACAGTGGCTACAACAGGGAGGTCACTGCAGCGAGTAACTCACCCCCTGACTCCCAAAGCCTGTATAAGACAAGTCAGGAGTGTGATGGTATACTCTTCACTTGCCTGATGGGTGCAGCTCCAAAACCACTCAAGCAGCTTGACCCCATCCAGGACAAAGCAGCCCACTTGATTGGCACAACGTCCACAAGCATCCATTCCCTCCATCACCAATGCTCAGTGGCAGCAATGTACACTATCTACAAGACGTGCTGCAGAAATTCACAAATTCACTCAGACAGAACCTTCCAAACCTACAACCATTTCGATCTAGAGCAAGGGCAGCAGATACATGGGAACACCACCATTTTCAAGTTCACCTCCAAGCCACCCACCATGCTGATTTGGAAATATATTGCCATTCATTCATTGTCACTGAGTCAAAATCCTGGAATTCCTTCCCTCATGGCATTGTGGGTCAACCCACAGCAAGTGGACTGCAGCAGTTCAAGAAGGCAGCTCACTACCACCTTCACAAGGGCAACTAGTGATTGGCAATAAATGCCAGCCAACAAGCCCTACATTCCAAAAATGAATTTAAAAAAAGCATACATTTCCTTATGGGCAGAGGATCCTTCAGGAATGGACTATGCTTCCTTTAAATCAGACATGAGGAAGACAAAAAGAAACCATCTTGTATATTGCTTACCCACAGCCGTAATGCTCCTTGCATTTTGAAAATGAGGCACTCAGAGGAAAAAAGTAGAGGATCTGTCCTTCGCTGGATTGTCACCACTGCACAATTTGCATGCTGAGGCAGGTAAAATGAAAACAGGGCATTGAGAGGCTGAGGGGATGACTTGTGCTTGCACACATTGGGTCAAGTTGGGACTAGAGCTGTCCTTGTTACATTCTTTCAACAGGGCTGCTCATGGCTTTTGAACCTTCCATCCACCTCCAGTTTCTCTATTTGACATTTTTTTGTCCCAAAATATGAAGAGACAGTTCACCATGCTAAAATGGAACAGATTTTGGATAGATCTAGCAACTCACGATTGGGCATCGATGAGATGTGGTGGATCATCACCAGCAGCATTGTACTCCAGCATAATCTACAACCTCATGGCCTGGAATATCCTCAAGCCAAGGGATCAACCCTGGTTCAATGAAGAGTGCAGGATGACGTGCCAGGAGCAGCACCAGGTATACCTAAAAATGAGGTGTTAACGTGGTAAAGCTACAAAACAGGACTACTTGCACTCCAAACGACATAACCAGCAAGTGGTAGAGCTAAGTGATCCCACAACCAGCAGATCAGATCACAGCTCTGCAGTCCTACCACATCCAGTTGTGAATGGTGATGGACAATTAAACAATTCACTGGAGGAGAAGGCTCCACAAATATCCCATTCTCAATAATGGAAGAGCTCAGTACATCAGCGCAAAAGATAAGGCTGAAGCATTCATAACTATCTTTAAGCAGAAGAGTCGAGTGGATGATTAAGCCCTTCCAAAACTGTGATCACGATCACCTCGAGGCACGAGGACAGCAGGAACATGGATATATTACCACCTTCAAGTTCCCCTCCAAACTACTTACCATCTTGACTTGGAAATATTTGCTGTGCTTTCAGTGTCACTTGAGTCAAAACCTTGGAACTCCCTCCCTCCTGAGCACTGAGAGTGCACCTACAATACATGGACTACAGTGGTTCAAGGCAGCAGGTCACCACCACCTTCTTCAAGGCAATTAGACATGGCAATAAATGTTGGCCCAGCCAACGTCACCATTGTCCCACAGTTTGGGGAGGGTGGGGTAGGAAGACAGACAGAATAGCAAGGAACAATAAGGAGAAGAGGAGGAAAGGGAGGGGAAAGGAGATATAGAATTGATAGGTACGAGTGAGGAAGGACAGGCAAAAAGCGCATGTAAACCGATAGAAGGAAACTAAGCTTCTGGACAGTGTAGTTATCTGTAACACAGCAATGAGTGAAATGCCTCTGGAGTACTGGACAAATTCAAAACTCGGATGCTGATAAAACTGACATGATGAAATCAACGACAAATTGATGTCAGGGCATTGAGACAGAAAACTCTGTGTGCAGAACATTGAGATGTGTTCGTCCAAAAAAAAAAAAATTTCCCTGCTTGTATTGCTGAAGCCATAAAGTTTACATGAGGAGGATGCAAATATTGGTGCCTGTAGAAAACCCTTGAGAAATTCCTTCTGGTAAAATCCAACTGGGAGCCAATTCTGTCCAAACAGCAAATCAAAGTCTTTTTATGATCAATACAGGTGATGCTGGAAATACTCGAGAAAAAACACTGAGCTAGCATTTCAAAAAAAATGACCTCTCATCTGATCAGAAAGGTTATCTCCAGTTCTCTATTCACTATCAGGACCTGCTGAGAAACCTAGTTTTTTTTTGCTTACTATTTCAGATATCCAGCATCCACATTATTTTGCTCTTTCTTTGTAACCTGGTGTTTAGAACTGCCAATCAAACTTCGATAGTGATGCAGCCCACAATTTCTTTAATGAGTGTTAAACTCGAGAGGGATTATGACAACTCGATTGAACTGACTAATGTTACAGGGTGGAGTAACATTTATATCAACATTATTCATTTTCCTCACTGGATTGGGTGATTAAAAAACTCTGGCTAGGGATGACAATATTAATTGATAGACCTTTTCAGAGGACTGAGATACTCCAACGATTCCTCCCCACCTCTTAGATCAAAGCCCCATTGAGGGCATCTGGAGTACTGCATACAGTCTTGGTCCCCTAACTTTAGGGCAAATGTAGCTGTATTGAAAGTAGTTCAAAGATTCACTAGATTGATTCTAGAGATGAAAAGCTTGTCTTATGAGGGGATTATGCAATTTAGTCCTATACTTGGGTTTAGAAGAAATGTAGTTGAAGTATACAAGATGCTAAAGAGGATTGACAAGGAGGTGCTTCCCCTTGTGGGCAGTACAGAATGAGAGGTCACAGTTTTAGACTAAGGGGTGGTAGTTTCCAAACAGAGATAAGGAGGAATTACTTCTCTCAAAGGGTCTTGAATCTGTGGAATTCCCAAAGTGTAATAGGCATAAATTTTAGGAAGGGATAGACAGGTTTTTAACTAGTAATGTGTTAACTGGTTATAGAGAGTGGGCAGGAAGCTGGAGTCGAGGCCGAGATGAAATCAGCTGAATTGCCTACTCCTGCTCCAAGTTCTTGTGTTTATTCTTAGCCCAAGTATTGTTTGATGCTAATATAAACCCTGAACAATCTCTCTCTTCCTATCCCAACATAACTACAGGACAGTAACACTCAGAATTGTTCCGAGTTGGGACTAGAGGATCTTTGGATCTGCACATCCTTCTCGCTTGTCTGTCTGGAATTGTTGTCAAGTCTTCCCCCCACAGCACCATCCCCCTCCAACTCCCTAATGCCATTTGACTGTTGCTTACCTGCAGAGGACTTAGGGGCATTAAAGATGCTTTCTAAATCCGCGAGCGCTGCGTATTTGTCGACTTGCGAGGCAGCCTGTTTACTGGAGGTGGCGGCCGTCGAACTTGTGGGCACGGATGTGGCCTGAGAGCTAGTGAAGGATCCGAAACTAGTGCTGGAAGATTTTGGGAAGGTATCAAAGTTTGCAAAGTTAGCGCTGCTCGAACCACCTGTTGCAAATGAAGAAAACAAAAAGGAATGGGAGGGGAAAAGAAACTAAACGAAAATGAAAACAGAACGAGAAAATAAAATTGACTCAAGAACTCAACACAATGCATGTCATGGAGTTATGCCCAACCTTGCAAGTCTCCAGGTCCAAGGTTTATGCACTTATATGGGGCTTGATATAGTGGCAGAATCAAAGCTAAGTTTGTGGGGCAACGTGTATTGTGTTCGCTCTGTCACGGTTAAGGCATCTGGTGTCCTTGGCTTTACACCCTCCCTCTTCAATTCCCACCTATTGTGATATGGACACCAAGCCAATAGTATTCCATTCAAAACCAGACTATTCAGGCAGAGAATCAGCCTGCTCACTTTACAACCCCTCAAGGCACCCGAAGTGGCTACATCAAATTATTGCATTGAACTGATGGGATCTCTGCCAAACCTGATCTCAGGTTCAATTTGCTAGTGTAATTACCTGCCAAAAGATTAGCAAAAACAATAAATCCAAATGGCAAAAAGTGCGCAAGTAACTCACTTGCACAGATGTACTTGGCTAGACACACTGCATTCTCCCACACACTGTCACCCAGGCACACTCACAATCAGAGACAAAAATAGAAATTGCTGGAAAAGCTCAGCAGGTTTGGCGCATCTGTGGAGAGAAATCAGAGTTAACGTTTTGGGTCAAGTGACCCTTCCTCAGAACAGTTCTGAGAAAGTCACTTAATTCAAGGGGAAATTAGAGATGGTTAGAGCAACAGACGCTGGTTCAATCAGATATGCCCACATCAAAAATTATTAAAAATCACAAAAAACCATACTGCTCATTTCAAAACCAGTGGAAACAGTTTCATGACATCTGTGCTAGTGAACTTGTCTTAATTTTTAAAAGGTGTTAAGGCATCACCATTGTGACAGCACCCCAAGCCAACTAAACTCCATCAGCGGGGGTTATTTGGAGCCATTCAAAGCAGAAGTCTCCAGGCTGAACCTCCATCCTTGTCTCTCCACCACACCCCCAATTCTGCCCCCAGTCCCAACCCCACTGGAGATGTTTACACTGAGCTTTGGTATTACTGGATCAGGGAGAGCACAAAGAAAATCGAGCCAATGCTCCTGTTTGCGATCAGGCAAACATGGCTGATCTGATTGTATCTGTAAATCTACATTGTTGCCTACTCCTGATAACCTTTCACCTCCTTGCTTAACAAGAATCTATTTGCCTGTGCCTTGAAAATATTCAAAGGCTCTGTTTCCATGCCCTTTCAAGAAGATAGTTCCAAAGACACTCGCACCTCAGAGAAAACATCTCATCTCCATCTTAGCTCGACAGCCATGATTTATAAATAGTGATCCGTGGTTCGAGATGTATTCTCTCCATCTCCATTGTGTCAAGACCCCTCAGGATCCTGTATGTTTGCTCTGTTGCAAGTGCACCGCACAGATAATGCAATTGCACTGCACTGTGATGGCTTCTGTGGTCAAATAATCACCCTGACACTCTCATGCCGGCAAACAAAATGGTGCCTGCTGGAGTCTACATTGGTCATCACCTACAGGGAAGAAAATAAGTTGAGTGAAAACCCATTATTCCATTTTCCTACCACTACATACAGATCACAGCATTTTGTTTAAGCCACAACAATGACAGCAAGGGAAAGGGACTGCTCACATACAACGTGCAAGAATTAGCAACGGCACAGTCAGCACTACACATTTGGAGAAGCACTGGCTACACGCCTCTGCAGTAAATGGTCTCAGTACTTAGCACCGTCAGACAAAGTTAATCCATGCCACACAGCTCGACATCTATCACATTTACTACTCATTTCTCTCAAGGAAGAATTCTGCCATCTTTACCCAGTATGGTCGACACGTGACTCCAGACTGACAGAAATGTGCTTAACTCCTAACTGTCCTCTGAAATAGCTGAACAAGCTGCTCAGTTGTATCCATTTCGGCAAAGTTAAGATTAAAATGGGCTGGATCATCGATCAACCAAAGCCTGTCCACCATCTGGAAAGCACAAGTCAGGCCTGGGATAGAATACTCCACACTTGCTTGGAAGAGCACAGCTTCAACTCGAGGCTTGACTCCATCCAAGACAAGAACTGCCGATGCTGGAGTCAGAGATAACTCCGTGTGGAGCTGGAAGAACACAGCAGGCCAGGCAGCATCAGAGGAGCAGGAAAGCTGACGTTTTGGGTCGGGAACCTTCTTCAGAAAAAAGGGTCCTGATCCGAAACATCAGCTTTCCTGCTCCTCTGATGCTGCCTGGCCTGCTGTGTTGCTCCAGCTCCACACTGTGTTATCCATCCAAGACAAACTACTTGATCAGCACGTTAACCACTACCGTCAATATTCACGACTTCCATCACTAATGCTCAGTAGCAGCAGTGTGTGCCAACTACAGGGTGCACGGCAACAACTCACCAAGGCTCCTTAGACAGCACCTTCCAAACCCAAGATATCTACCATCATGAACAAGGGCAGCAAATACATGGAAACACCACCATGTGCAAGTTTCCTTCCAAAGCACTCACCATCCTGATTTGGAAATATCACTGTTCCTTCAGTGCCATTGGGTCAAAACCCTGGAACTCTCTTCAACAGCACTGTGGATATCTTTGCACCAAGGACTACATCAATTCAAAAAGGTGGCTCACTAATACATTCTCCGGGGCAATAACTGCTAGCCTGGCCAGCATCACCCACATTCCATGACCAATTAGTAAATAGGCTGATAGTCTGTAAATGAATTTTTGTATCTATCTTTGTATCTGATATTTTGCACGTGAATGCTTGCATGAGTGAGTGCATGAATGAATGCATGCCTATCTGTAAGAATGTACAGTATGCGAGACTGCAGGCATCATTCTAGCAACAACATCTGAAATCAGTTTCCATCGAGTACACAGACAATAAGCAGGTCTATTGTCATTTCTCTTGACCCTTCCTCCATATTTAAATTGACTGAATGGCTGTCTGACATTCAGACTTGGATAGGTTCAAACTTCCTTCAACTAAAGACGAGAATAAGTGAACTTTTGGTCCCGAACAAACTCAGTTCCTGAGTCACTGACCACACTTTTCTCCCTGGCAAGTATCCAAGGCTGAAGCAGATTATTAGCGACCTTGGTGTTATTCCTGACCCCAAGATGATCTTCCTATTACATGTCCACACATTTCTAATATTCCCTCCCACCCCGATTCCCACTGCAGCACTGACAGTCACACCTTCAGCAGCTCTGGAAATCCATCCCAAAATCTTTCTCTCTCTCTCCAATTTTCAGATGCTTATAAACTGACCTCTTCAAATACATTTTTATTCACCAGTTACGATTGTCTGATGTAGTGTGGTATCTGATGTTCTTTTTCCATCAGCAGGGGCAGGATTGGGGATTTAGGGACTTATGAGAATATGGGTGAGAGAGACTAAGTTTGATGGGCATGCACATGCAACATAGATGTGCAACACAATGAAAAAGACCATTTGGCTCATCTGCTCACTGCTTCATACGAGACGCCCCTCCACATCCTATACATTTCAAAATCAGCAAATATTTCCATTCCTTTCTCCCTTGAGTTTTTCCAGCTTCAATGTATCAATACTATTCACTTCAACCACTCCATATGGCAGCAAGTTCTAAATTCCCACTCTCTGGGCGGAGAAATTTCTACCGAATTCCTGATGGGATTTATTAGAGACTGTCAGATATCAATGGCCCCCGAGTTCTGGCCTCCCCTAAAAGCTGGTGCACCTTCATAACACCTATCGCTTGGTCATTTTAAAGACTTTGACACACTGGGAGCTGAGCGAGGTGCCATACCTGAGGTTGCGGACTGGACCTGGAAAGGGGCTTGGTTGGCTGGTGGGAAATTTCCAACATTAGCTGAGCCTCCGCTGCTAAACGGGCTGAAGCCTGGGAAACCTGGGTGTGCAGTCTGCTGAGCTGGAAGAGAAACAGACCCATTTACCATCATGACTGCAGAGCATCATCACACAGAACTGGTTAGTATCATTTCTAGACATAAGCTAACCTTGACCCTGTGTTTAATTCAGTAATAAAGGCTGAAATCACATCACCATTACAATTGCGAGGAGGTGGTCGTGTACTGTTTAAGTCATTTGACTAATCATCCAAAGCCCCAGGCTAATATTCTGTGGAAATGGGTTTGATGGCAGATGGTGAGGTCTGAATTCAACTGAAGTGTGGAATAAAAAAATTCAGTCTTAAGTTGATTGTCGTAAAAACCCGTTCTGGTTCAGTGAGGTGAAGAGGTCGAGGGAGGGTAGGAGGCCTTGGGGTGGTGTCCAGGAGGAGGGGGTGTGTTGGAGGCGGGAGAAGGGGTCAGTAGAGGGAGGATTAGGCTCACAGTTAAAGAAGTAAGCGCAGAGGCGGAGGAAAAACTACTCAATGTCCAAACATGACCGGTATTCGTTGATGTGTGGGTGGAGGGGGACAAAGGGGAGCCCTTTACTGAGGACTGACCATTTGTCCTCAGTAAGGGGGAGGTCTGGGGGGCATGGTGAAGACTCCGCAGGGCTGGGTGCTGCTGGCTGTGGAGGTGATGGGCGGAGCGATATCGGCGTCGGTGGTGGGCCATGTGGCGGCGTCAGTGGTGGGCGGAGTTGCATCGGTGTCGGTGGTGGGCAGAGCGGGGTAGGCGGAGGCAGCAGCAGTGACGGTAGGTGCGTCCTCAGTGTCTATGGTGTTGGCCTCGGAAATGGAGGCGGTGGTATCAGCAGCGGTGTCGATGGCGTTCGCTGTCCCGGAAGTGGTGTACCCGGCGGCGGAGGATGTGACGTCATCCGTGGGTGCTCCGACAGTGGCCACATGGCCAATGGCGGCAGGCATATTGTGGGCAAGGTCCTGGGTGGAGTCGGAGATTTGGGAGGTGGAGTAGGCCCGTTTTGGGTGGTAGGCACCAGTAAGTTTACTGTACTTACGGTTTTTAGTTTCCAATAAAGCTGAGTAGAATTGAGAGTTCAGGTTGTGGATCCTATGAAGAATACAAAAACAGGAGAGGTCCTTTGCAGGTCTGGGAGAGGGAGGCTCTGAGCTGGGGTAGGCTTAATTGTAGTGCCAGGAGAAGCCGGCACATTGCTGCGAGTTTGTGTTTCAGGAGTCGCAGGGAGAAACACTTCTGAAGGATCTCAATGTTCTGAATGTAGACATTGTCACGGTTGGGGCCAAATTGGGAAGGCCTGAATGTGGACTGCAGTCCATTGGGGATGATCAGGTTCCGTAGGCAGGTACTAAGAAACGTGATGTGGCTGAAAGGGTCTGAAGGAGGGTCTAGGCCCGAAAAGTCAGCCTTCCGGCTCCTCTGATGCTGCTTGGCCTGCTGTGTTCATCCAGCTCTACACCTGGTTATCTCAATCTCCAGCATCTGCAGTTCCTGCTATCTCTGGTTCAGTGTCATCTTTTAGGGAAGGAAATCCTCTATCGTTACCCAGTCTGGCCTGCAGATGACTCCAGACCCACATCATAGGAATGTAGGAACACAAGAACAGCAGTAGGCCATTTAGCGCCTCGAGCCTGCTCTGTCATTCAATAAGATCATAGTGATCTGTGGCCTAACTCTGTATGCCTGCTTTGGGCCTATAGCCTTTGTTTAATAAAACTTTTTCTATCTCAGATTTAAATTTAACAAGTGAATTAGCAGCGAGTGTCATTCCAGGAAGAGAATTCCAAACCTCCACTACTCCATGTGTAGAAGTGCTTTCTAACTTCTCTTCTGAATGGCCTTACCCTAATTCTTAAACTGGTTCTAGAATCTGCAGTGTAAATAGTTTATCTAATCTGTCTTTCCATGATAACATCTTGAAGACCTTGATTAGATAACCAACTAACCCTATAGAGTGGGTTCTGATTTAACGTGATAGTTCCATTCTCGTGCGATCTCACGAAACAAAAAAATCACACAATAACCGTGCTATTTAAACTAATGGGGCTGGAATCACATTCTACAAATAGCAGTCTAAATTCAACAATCCCGTTAAAGCCAATTCACGTTGAAGAAACATGCATGATAGCAGAACTAACTTAATTCGAGAGAATTAAGGCCTTATTTGTCTGATCTCTCTTCATAACTTAACCCCCGAAGTCTACGCATCATCCTTGTAAGCCTGATTGAACGTCCTCCAAGGCCAAAAACATCCTTCCTAAGATGTGGTGCCCAGATCTGCTCTCAGCACTATAAGTAGGGTCTAAGTAGAGATTTAGGTAACTGCAGCGTAACATCTGCATATGAAGGCCAGCATTCCATTCGTCTTCTTGACAATTTCTGCATCTGAACATAGAACAGTACAGGCCGTTCAGCCCACAACGTTGTGCCAACCTATTATCTTACTCTAAGATCAAACTACCCTACATTTTACTATCCTCCATGTGCCTATCCAGCAGTTGCTTAAATGTCCTTAATGTATCTGACTCTACTACCACTGCCGGCAGCGCATTCCACGCACCCACCACTCTCTGTGTAAAGAACCTACCTCTGACATCTCCCCTATACCTTCCTCCAATCACCTTAAAATTATACCCCCTTGTAATTGTCATTTCCGCCCTGGGAAAAAGTCTCTGGCTATCCACTCTATCTATGCCTCTCATCATCCTGTACACCTCTATCAAGTCACCTCTCATCCTTCTTCACTCCAATGAGAAAAGCCCTAGCTCCCTCAACCTTTCCTCATAAGACCTGCCCTCCAGTCCAGGCAGCATCCTGGTAAATCTCCTCTGCACCCACTCTAAAGCTTCCACATCCTTCGTATAATGAGGCGGCCAGAACTGAACACAATATTCCAAGTGTGGTCTAACCTGGGTTTTATATAGAGCTGCAGCATAACCTCACAGCTCAAACTCAATTCCCCTGCCAATGAAAGCCAACACACCATACACCTTCTTAACAACTGTATCAAATTGGGTAGCAACTTTGAGGGATCTATGGACGTGGACCCCAAGATCCCTCTGGTCCTCCACACTGCCGAGAATCCTGCCATTAACCCTGTAGTCTGCATTCAAATTCGACCTTCCAAAATGAATCGCTTCACACTTTTCTGGGTTGAATTCCATCTGCCACTTCTTTGCCCAGCTCTGCATCTTGTCAATGTCCCGTTGCAACCTACAACAGCCCTCCACGCTATCCACAACTCCACCAACATGCATGTCATCGGCAAACTTACTAACCCACCCTTCCACTTTCTCATCCAAGTCATTTATAAAGATCACAAAGAGCAGAGGTCCCAGAACAGATCCTTGTGGAACACCACTGGTCACAGAGTTCCAGGCTGAATACTTTCCATCTACTACCATCCTCTGTCTTCTATTGGACAGCCAATTCTGTATCCAGACACCAAATTTCCCTGAATCCCATGCCTCCTTACTTTCTGATTGAGCCTACCATGGGGAACCTTAACAAATGCCTTGTTAAAATCCATATACATCACATCCACTGGTCTGCCTTCAACGTGTTTGTCACATCCTCAAATAATTCAATAAGGTTTGTGATGCCTGCCCTTCACAAAGCCATGCTGACTATTTCTAATCAAACTGTGCTTTTCCAAATAATCGTAAATACTATCTCTCAGAATCCTCTCCAATAATTTGCCCACCACATAAGACAGACTGGTTGGTCTGTAATTCCCAGGATTATCCCTATTCCCTTTCTTGAACAAGGGAATAATATTTGCCACCCTTCAATCATCTAGTACTACTCCAGTGGACAGTGAGGATGTAAAGATCATCGCCAAAGGCGCAGCAATCTCTTCCCTCACTTCCCGTAGTATCCTTGGGCATATCCCGTCTGGCCCAGACTGCTCATGGCACTTTAAACAGCAAAGCACCAGAAACCCCAAATCTCATGGGACACCCAGAGTTTAACTTTGAGCATTCAAAAAAAAAAATACACAGATCTATCCTTTTCAGTCTGAAATGGATAACCTCACACTTGCTTGAATTAAAATCCATCTGCCACAGCTTTGTTCATTCACCTGTCAGTATCCTGATATACTTTCATGCTGTCATCACTGTCTACATTGCTGCCCAATTTTGGGTGCCAGCAAATTGCTTTTTATGCCATTATGCAAGTCGTTGTGAATAATTGAGGCACCAACACACAGATCCCTACAGGACAACACTAGTCACAACCTGCTAATTTCATTACTTACCCATAATTCCAACTGTGTTTCCTGTCAATCAACCAATTTCCTATCTAGGTTAGTAATTTGCCCTCGATTCCATGGCCTTCCAGCTTAGCTAACAGTTTCTTGCATGAGGCATTATCAAAAACCTTTTGGAAGTCCACATAAACAACATCCACCAACTTAGCTCTGTCCACCATACTGACCCACCCCGAAATATTTTTGAGGTGATCAGTTACCCAATCCTTGATTTTAGAACAATTTTTGTTAGGCTAACTAATCTACAATTCCCTAGTTTCCCTCTGTTACTCTTCTTAAAGTAATACTGACTCTTAACTGCCCTCTTGGCAATTACAGACAGACAATAAGTGATGGTCAAGCCAGTAACATCCACATTCCACAAAGGAATGAAAAAAAGATTTCCACAAATACAGGGAGTATACTATGTGTGAGGATGGTTAGTTTAAATTTCCCATTGAGAATCACATCTCAGATGGGAAATAGTTTCTCTATAGCAAGCCTATCGAATCATTTTAAGGAGAGTTTACCTATTGTAATGCCCCTTGACCATTTAAACTGAAGACAATAGAAGCACACTTAATGCGTCTGAATAATTTAACTCTTTGCACCTTTATCAAATAGGATTGATGTTGCTCAGATTCACCCAAGGCTAACATGTTCTTCCTGAGGTACAAAGCCCAGAACTGAATCCAGTCCTCACCGTGCCCCCAACCCACCTACCCACCCACACTTACCTCCAAAAGCAGGGAAGGCCCCAAAGGCCTGTGCAGCAGTGTGCTGGGGTACCGGGGAAGCAAAAGGATCACCTCCAATATCTGCCAAAAGATCCAGCTGTGATTTCTTCGCTGGCTGTTGATTCTGTTGCTGCATCGATTCCTGGTTGGCAACCTAAGATGGGGGTAGGGAGGACAGAAGAGAGACAGCGTGGTGAGAGAGACAGAGTGTGCGCATACATGCATGAGTCAGAAAGAGCATGCAAATAGGGAGGGGGAGAGAGAGAGCGCGCACGCGCGAGGGTTGGAGAGGTGGGGGGCAAGCAAGCAGAAAAAGAGAGAGCACAAGAGTAGGAGAGAGAGGGGGAGCAAAGACAGTGCACAGGAGGGGAGCAAAGACAGTGCACAGGAGGACAGCAATGGGGGGGAAAGGGGAAGGGTGGCGGAGAAGGAAGGGAGCAAGGGACTGGAGGAGGAGGGGGAGTGGCCGGGAAGGCGAGAGAGGAAGGGAGGGAGGGCAGTAAGACAGAGTGGGTGGGTGGGAGGGCGGGCGGGGAGGTAGGAAGACAGAGACACAGAGACAGCAGGGGGAGAGGACGGGAATTGGGGTGGGGGGGGTGGTGAAGAAAAGCGGCGGAAGTGGGGGGAGAGGGGGAGGGGGCAGGCGGGTGGGGGGAAAGGGCGAGGTGGGTGGTGAAGGTGAGTGGGTGGGTGGGGAGAGGGGCGTTACGGGGATGAGGGTGGGCGGGGAGAGGGAGTGTCAGATTGACTGAGTCCAGGAGAGGAATGAGAACCATAAGACCCACATGAAGTAGGCCATTCAAATCAGCTCTGACAATCCTCAACTTAACTTTCCTGCCTTTCTGCCATAATCCTTGACTCCTTTACTGATCAACGCAAACCTCTCAGACATGAATGTATTAATGACCAAGCTTGCAGTAACATATTCCACAAATTCACTGCCCTGAGAGAAGAAATCCCTTGTTGCAGTCTTAAATTGGTGACCCTTTGCTCAGGTTATGTCGCCTGGTCCTGGACTTTCTTCACATTTACTCTGAAAAACCGCCTAAAAATCTTTCATGTTTCAAGAAGGCCTCAGTTCGTTCTTCTAAACTCCACTGACTACAGGCCAAACCCATTCAACTGCTCCTCACAAGACAATCCCTCCGTACCGGAGATCAGTAAGTGAACGTTCTCTGGAATGTCTCCAGTACCAGTGAAGAAACCTAAAAGCTCTTATCTACAAATGGGAATGCTATCCCCAATGCACTGGAGCCAATGTTTACACCTCAAACAAGATCATTAAAATTGATGGATCTGGTCATTAGTATGTTGTGTTTTGTGGCCTCATGCTGTGCATAACCTAACTGCAGCATTAAAGTGATTCCACTTTAAATGCGTTCCACTATTATCAAAGCATTCTGGCACAGAGGGTCTGAAAGGCATTATTAAAAATACAAGTTCTTCCTTGCAAAGGGAACGACATTTTGCATTTAGATAGTGCCTATGACGTAAGGAACATGTCAAACACATTCAGTTGGAAAACTTCGGCATTCCATTTGTATCTGTCCAAAGCCTGCTCCAATCAACAAAGCACAAGTTAGGCATGTGACAGAATACTCTCCACTTGCCTGGATGGGTACAGCTACAACAACATTCAAGAAGCTTGACATCATCCAGATCAAAGCAGCCTGCCTGATTTGGCACCACTTCAAACATCCACACACCCCCATCACCAGCTATGGTCGTGCTCCAGCTATCGTCGTGTGTACAATGTAAAAGATGCACAACTGTACTAAAGGCACATTCCAAACCCACAACCACTACCATCTAGAAAGACAGGAGCAGCAGATACACGGGAACACCATCCCCTGGAAGCTCCCGTCTGAGCCACTCACCATCTGACTTGGAAATATATCACTGGGCCAAAATCCTGGAATTCCCTTCCTAACAACACTGTGATGTTAACACCACACAGACTACAGCAGTGCATGAAGGCAGCTCACCATCACCTTCTGCAAGGCAACTAGGGACGGGTAATAAATGCTGGCCCAGTCTTGAGATTCTCACATCCCATGAAACAATTTTTAACAATTTGGAAGTACAGGCACACTGTGTAGAGTCAGAGTAATACAGCATGGAAACCGGACCTTTGGGCCAACCTGGTCCATGCTGACCATGATGCCTACTCAGCTAGTTCCAACTGCCGCATTTAGTCCATATCCCTCTAAACCTTCCCATCCATGTACCTATCCAAATGTTCTTTAAATGTTGCTATTGTACCTGCCCCAATAACTCTCTGGAAGCCCATTCCATATACACATCACTCTGTGTGAAGAAGTTGCCTCTCAGGTCCTTCTTAAATCTTTCCCATCTCACCTTAAACCTATGCCCTCTAGTTTTCAATTCCCCATCCCTGGGAAAAAGACTATATGCATTCATCCTATCTGTGCACCTCATGTTTTTTTTACACCTCAATAAAGGTCACCCCTCATTCTCCTATGTTCCAAGGAATAAAGTCCTATCCTGGCCAACCTCTCCCTATAACTCAGGCCTATTAGTCCTGGCAACGTCCTCGTAAATCTTCTTCGCACACTTTCCAGTTTAACTATGTCTTTCCTACAAAAGGGTGACCAAATCTGCACACAATACTCCAAGTGCAGCCTCACCAAAGACTTATACAACTGTAACATAGCGTCCCAACTCCTATACTCAATGCCTCGACGGACGACAGCCAGCATCGCTAAATGCCTTCTTCACTACCCTGTCTACCTGTGACACTGCTTTCAATGAACTATGAACTTCTACTCCTCGGGTCCCTTTGTTCCACAACACTCCTAAGGACCTTATCATTTATTGTGCAAGTCCTACTTTGGTTCGATTTTGCAAAAAGTGCACACATAGAACATAACAGCGCAGTACAGGCCCTTCGGCCCTCGATGTTGCGCCGACCTGTGAAACCAATCTGAAGCCCATCTAACCTAAACTATTCCATTATCATCCATATGTTTATCCAATGACCATTTAAATGCCCTTAAAGTGGGCGAGTCTACTACTTTTGCCCTCACACTTATCTGTAATGAATTGCATTAACCAATTCTCAGTGCACTTCCTCATCTGATCAAGATCCCTCTGTAATTTTTGATAATCTTCCTCACTATCACTTCCTCATTTTGTATCATCCGCAAACTTACTAATCATGCTTTGTACATTCACATCCAGATCATTTATGTAAATAACAAATAACAAAGATCCCAGCACTGATCCTTGTGGCAAAACCACGAGTCACAGGCCTCCAGTCTGAGAAAGAACCTTCAACCATCACCCTCTGCTTCCTACCATCAAGCCAATTTTGAATCCAATTAACTAGTGCTCCCTGGATCCCACGCGACCTAATTTTCATACCTAGCCTGCCGTGCAGGACCTTGTCAAAGGCCTTATTTAAGTCCACATAGACAATACCCATTGCCCTACCTTCATCCTTCTTAGTTACCTCTTCAAGAAAAAAATGTCAGACATGACTCCTGTGCGCAAATCAATGCTGACTATCCCTAATCAGACCGTGATTATCCAAATGTTGGTTGATCCTGTCCCTCAGTATCCTTCTAATAACTTGCCTACCACTGATGTCAGGCTCACTGGCCTGTAGTTCCCGGGCTTGCCTTTGCTACCTTTCTTCAACAATGAACAACATTAGCCACTCTCCAGTCTTCCGGAACTTCACCAGTGGCTAAAGACAAAGTAAGAATCGCTGCAACGGCCTCTGCAATTTCTTCTCTAGCCTCCCACAACATCAGACAATAGGCTTGATCAGACCCAGGGGATTTATTGACCTCAATGCGCTTTAAGGCTGCATACACCTCCTCTCTGGTAATATGTATGCGGTCCAAAACATCCCCACTTGTTTCCCTTATTTCCTTAGCATCCACGATTCCCTCCCTCAGTAAACACAGAGGAGAAATATTCATTAAAAAATCTCCCCCATCTCCTGTGGCTCCACACACAGATGGCCATGCCGAACTTTAAGGGGACATATTCTCTCCCTAGCCACCCTTTTACTCTTAATATAGTTATACAACCTCTTGGGATTATCTTTAACCTTATCTGCCACATCCATCTCATACCCTCTGTTTGCTCTTCTGATTTCCCTCAAGTGTGCTCCTACACTTTTGATAGTCATCTAGGAATTCAATTGAGCCCAATCGCTTAAATCCTTCTTTTTCCTGACCAGAAACTCAATATCCCTTATCAGCCAGGGATCCCTAAACCTGCCAGCTTTTCCCTTCACCCTAAAAGGGACACACTGTCCCTGGAGGCCAAGCAGCATCAGAGGAGCAGGAAAGCTGACGTTTCAGGTCTAGACCTTTCTTCAGAAATGGGGGAGGGGGAAGGGGATTCTGAAATAAATAGGAAGAGAGGGGGAGGCGGATAGAAGATGGATAAAAGGAGAAGATAGATGGAGAGGAGACAGACAGATCAAGGAGGCGGGGTTGGAGCAAGTAAAGGTGAGTTAGGGAGGGGATAGGTTGGTCCAGGGAAGACGGACAGGTCAAGGAGGCGGGATGAGGCTAGTAGGGAGGAGATAGGGGTGGGGCTTGAGGTGGGAGGAGTGGATAGGTGGGAGGACAGGTTAGGGAGGGGAGTACGAGCTGGGCTGGTTTTGGGAATGCGGTCGGGGGAGGGGAGATTTTGAAGCTTGTGAAGTCCACATTGATACCATTGGGCTGCAGGATTCCCAAGCGAAATATGAGATGCTGTTCCTGCAACCTTCGGTGGCATCGTTGTGGCACTGCAGGAGGCCCAGGATGGACATGCCGTTCAAGGAGTGGGAGGGGGGAGTTGAAATGGTTCGCGACTGGGAGGTGCAGTTGTTTGTTGCAAACAAATCGTAGGTGTTCCACAAATGGACATTTGCATACAATACAAATGTATACCACATTAGCAGATGTGTAGGTATACTGTATCTGCTGTTCCCGTTGTGGCCTCCTCAACACCGGGGAAACCAAACGGAGGCTTGGGGGTCGCTTTGTGGAGCACCTACAATCGGTTCGCAACAAACAACTGCACTTCCCAGTCGCGAACATTTCAACTCCCCCTCCCACTCCTTGAACGACATGTCCATCCTGGGCCTCCTGCAGTGCCACAACGATGCCACCCGAAGGTTGCAGGAACAGCATCTCATATTTCACTTGGGAATCCTGCAGCCCAATGGTATCAATGTGGACTTCACAAGCTTCAAAATCTCCCCTCCCCCGACCGCATTCTCAAAACCAGCCCAGCTCGTACTCCCCTCCCTAACCTGTCCTCCCACCTATCCACTCCTCCCACCTCAAGCCCCACCCCCATCTCCTCCCTACTAGCCTCATCCCGCCTCCTTGACCTGTCCGTCCTCCCTGGACCAACCTAACCCCTCCCTAACTCACCTTTACTTGCTCCAACCCTGCCTCCCTGATCTGTCTGTCTCCTCTCCATCTATCTTCTCCTTTTATCCATCTTCTATCCGCCTCCCCCTTTCTCCCTATTTATTTCAGAATCCCCTTCCCCTCCCCCATTTCTGAAGAAGGGTCCAGACCTGAAACGTCAGCTTTCCTGCTCCTCTGATGCTGCTTGGCCTGCTGTGTTCATCCAGCTCTACACCTTGTTATCTCAGATTCTCCAGCATCGGCAGTTCCTACTATCTCTGTAACACGGTCCCTGGACTCTTGATATCACACTTCTAAAAGCCTCCCATTTGCCAGTGGTTCATTTTCCTTCAAACAGACTCACCCAATTGACTGCTACTAGATCCTGCCTAATGGACCCAAAATTGGCCCTGCTCCAGTTTAGCACCTTAACCTGTGGACCTCTCCTATCTTTCTCCATAACTAAGGGAGTTATGGTCACTGGACCCAAAGTGTTTTCCAACCGACACTTCAGTCACTTAGCCAACCTCACTTCCTAAGAGGAGTCCAGTGTTGCACCCTCCCAAGTTGGGCGCTCTACATATCAATTTAGGAAACTTTCTTGGACACTTTTGACAAATTCCACCCCAACAGGGCCTTTTACATTCTGGGTATCCCACTCAACACAGGGGAAATTAAAATGTCCAACCAATACTTTTGCGTTATTCCAGGTAACTCTCTACACATCTGCTGCTCTAGTACCTACTGGCTATTTGGAGGGATTTATAATACAGTCCCAACAGAGTGGCCATTCCCTTCTTGTTTCTAAGTTCTAACCATGTGGCTTCATTTCATGACCCCCCCGCTTAAGAATATCCTCTCTAAACACCGTGGTTATGTCCTCCCTTATCAAAAGGGCAACTCCCCTCCTCACTTACTTGTACTGCTATATCCTGGGACATTGAGCTGCCCTGTTTCTGTTATGGATACCATACCCCAGTCCCCAGAGCCAAACCATGCTCTGAGCTTATCTGCCTTACCAGTCAGGCCTCGTGCGTTGAAATAAATGCACTTTAAACCAGAAGTCTTCCCCCTCTACTGAGCCCCTGGCTAACCCGAATCGTAAACTTGCTCTTGATGGCTAATATGTTTTCCCCTGACTTCTTGATGGCCCCTCTCTTATTCAGAGTGCCACCCCCACTGCCAAACTAATTTAAACCCTCCCAGGTAACACTAGCAAATCTCACTGCAAGGATGCTGGACTCCCTCCAGTTCAAGTGCAACCCATCCCTCTTGCATAGATCACTTCTAACCCAGAAGAGATTCCAATGATCCAAGAGCTGAAAATGCTGCGCCCTACACCAGCTCCTCAGCCACACATTCATTTGGGTTGTCTTTCTATTTCTATCCTCACTGGCACATGGCACCGGGAATAATCCGAAGATCACTACCCTTGAGGTCCTGCTTTTTAACTTCTTATCTAACTCCCTATATTCATTCTGCAGGACCCCATCCCTTTGTCTAACTATGTCATTTGTGTCTTTTACCCTGAAGCCTTGGTTCAAATCAGTGTGCTGACTGTAACAGGTCTCAGTGAAACGTGGGGTGACCTAGTACTCAAACACACACACATGCTCACAAGTATGAGCAACAATCTTGCTGAAAGATATCAGGAATGGACTTTGCACTGATATAGAACCTTTCATTACCCCCAGGATATCTCATTCACAGATGAACTGTTTTTCGAGGTGTAGTTACTGATGTAATGGAAGAAACGTATTGTCAATTGACACACAGCGAGATCCCCAAACAGAAAGATAAACAACCAGGCCATCTGTTGACCGAGGTCAAGTATTGGCCCCCATAAGCCAAAGGAGATGAAGATGGGAGCTGAGGAAGAGCAGAGGGACAAACAAAGCAGAACCAAGTCCTACTGTACTTGGCCTTGCATTGTTTGACACCAACACTAGTCGATTTCAATGGAATGCTCTCTACACTGTTTCATTAAAATATTTCACCTTCAAAAATTTGAAAAGAATTTAAAGCTGCTTCATAAGATAGTGCAATGATTAATAACATCTTCATTCCTTCTCCGCCCAGGCACTGCCAAACAATTTTAAACAGCTACAGCTCAAGACCTCTCGCACTGACAGCACACCTGCGCTCCAATCTTTCAAAAAAACAGTCCTCATTTCTGCAAGTGCTGGAATTACACAGTGCAGCTATTGGCAACTGAAGAGAAAAGATGTGTTAATGTTTAAACAAGCTAGTGGGGAGCAAAATTTAACTCCCTTTTTAGGGAACAAGAGCAGTGCTCCGATGGTGCAGCAAACTGCAGTTTGAACTTCCAACTACAATTTGGTGGCCTACAGCCGTGGTGAACTTTATGGTGAATAGTTGCTGCCACATCCAGTCCTACAATGGGAATTGAGAAGGAACAAAAAGGAAGTTGCATTTCTAGAGTACCTTTCAGCACCTCAGGATGCCTGGAAGCAGTTCACAGCTAATGGCAGCAATTCCAGTTGCCAATTTGCACACAGGAAGATCTCAAAGAATGAGATAATGACCAGAGATGGTTGAATATGGGCTAAATATTAGTCCACGGTACTGAAATGAACATCTGTGCTTTCCTTCCAGTAATGGCCATGGGATCTAAGCAGCCAGCCGACAGGGCCTTTATTCAAATGTTTCACCTGAATGACAGCACCTCCAGCAGGGTAGCACTCCAACTGTACTGCAGAATCATCATGGTTTATCGGTCTGAGGTCCGAGTTGGGCTTGAATCTACCACCTTCTGACTCAAAACCTAGTGTGTTACTCACTGAGCTCATGGCTGTTTATATTAAGCTGGATGTTCCTGTCCACACTTTCTCAATTCCTGAAGTATGGTGAGAGGGACGAAGGACAGCAAAACTGTAGTGCTGATTCATATAAAGCAGGACGTACCACACAAACTACAGTGCTGGCCAAGTTCACCAACCCGGGGCATCATTTACAGATGCTATAATTGACACTGCTGCAAACAGTGAGAATAGGATTGTGATGAGCTGTGATGCCTTTACAGTCAAATAGCCAGCTGACCTTTACATTTATATGTCTAGAATACCCATATATCAAGGAGCTAGAGGGCTGCCAGAGGACAAGGAATGGATTTCCAGCAAGGTGACTGCATTTTGGAAGAATGGGAAAGCTCTTTTAAAATTGTCATCTTTGTTTTCAAATTCTTCTGTGCTCTCATTCACCACCACTCTCCCTCCTTCAGCCTCAACACCCCGCCCCATCTTTGTGCCCTCTTTCAGCTCTACATTCTTCCCATTCTCCAAGATCTCTGCGTTACCCCCAGTTCCAGCCACTTGAGCATTCCTTGATTCCCATCACTCCATCATTTGTAGCAGTGCCTTCAGCTGCCTGGACCCGGAGCTCTGGAATTCCCTCCCTAAATGGCTTCAACTCTCTCTCCACCTCAGACAAACCAAGCCTTCTGTCACCTGTCCTTAACATCTTTCTCGGTGGCTTGGGGTCAAATTTGATTTGATTTGGAGTGCCTTAGTTCATTACAGGCTCTTTATAAATGCAGACATCTACTGTTTTCTGAACTGGGAAACATGCAGCATTCCCATTGCCTTGTTACCTGCCCAGCACTTTTTGAGATGTTCAGGGCTGGAGTTGAATCTCCCATAAGGGTCTTCAGCGGTTTGACGTCGGGTGTGCTACTTCTGCTGCTAAGCGATGTTGTAGCTGATGTGGCAGCAGATACTTTTACCCGCTCTGGAGGAACATACCTGCAAGAAAAGACCACATCAATTAAGTTCAACAAGAACAGCATGTCTGCCTTGAAACTGCAACATACTACCCTTACAATGTCACAGTCCATTTCACATGTTCCACTGACTATTCAGTCAGCAATTCCAAATTTGTCACATCACTTTTTTCAAAATAATTACAAATTGGTAGACAACAGGACTCATGCAAGCAGGACATGCGATCCCTGTCGATATCATGCTAGATCACACTACACCCTCTACTTCACTATACTGCATGTAATCAAGTATTAAACTTGCCAGACTTGCAACCAAGCCTCCCCACATGGGGAGGAATCCATGCCAGTTTCTGCTTCTAATTCCCATTCTTCATACAGTGACTGTCACTGGCAAGTCAACACTAGTATAAACGGTAGGGCACGGAATCGGACTTGCTTGTGATAATCACTGTTGTCAAATAATAATTGGAACTTGCACGAAGTTGGCCACAGTACTAGAAACCTCACAGGACTCCATATTTCTGTGCAAAACACATTGTGGGAAACATTTTTTTTTTTAAAAACTTCATTCATGGGATGTTGAAGGCTAGATCAGCATTTACCGCTTATTCCTAATTTCCCAGGTGGCAGTTAAGAGTCAACACATTGCTGTGGGTCTGGAGTCATGTGTAGGCCCAGACCAGGTAAGGACATCGAGTACAATTAAGACTGAGATAGATAGGTTCTTGATTATCAAGCGGATCAAGGGTTACGGGGAGAAAGCAGGAGAATGGGGTTGAGGAACTTATCAGCCATGATTGACTGGCGGAGCAGACTCGGTGGGCCAAATGGCCTAATTTCTGCTCCTATGTCTTATGACAATAGATTTTGTTCTCTAAAGTGAATCATAGGGGTTTTTACAACAGTTGACAGTGCCTACATTGTCATCATTAGACTTGATTTCTATTCCAGAATTTTAACAAATTCAAATTTCACTATCTGCTATGGGGGATTCAAACTCATGATCTCAGAACATTAGTCTGGAGTTGCAGATTACTAATTAGCCACATGACCACTGCCTCCTCAGGGATAGATATTAATGTGGAGGGTGTTGTGGATATATGGTTGAGATGCATTTCCTCGTGCTACTTAATACACACAACTTATGTAACCTGTTACTAAATTACACAGGAGCAAGAAGATTGGCCCAAAGGTGTTAGTAGCTGGAGTTACCCAAATGGGCCTCAGTAGACCAAAAGATCATAACACCATAAGATGTAGGAGCAGAAGTAAGCCATTCAGCCCATCAAGTTTCACTCTGCCATCCAATGAGATCATCACTGATCTGATAAGCTTCAATTCTAATTTCCTGCCTTAGCCCCATAATCCTTCATCCTCAATCCACAACAGAAACAATATGACACATGATAACTCACCACCTCTTTTTCTCATATTTATCCTGTAGGAACTCCTTGATTTTTTGTGGATCCCTGTAATCTGGGATAACTGATGATCGGGAATCAAACAGGCCCAGCCAAATCTGCCTACACACCTGCATAGGAATAAAAGGACAACAACAAAGTTATAGACACAGGTGGGTACACATGTGCACATCTGTACATCATCTTGGGTTGCAGCTCATCGTTTTCTAGTGACTCAAGATGAAAAGTGTATGCGGTTCTACCATGATGCCAAAGTTAAATTATTTGTCAGGACTCAAGTGAAAAGAACAGTCTCTTTATGAAAACTGAAAAAGAGAGCGCCGGTCTGGTGTCCCTTAGATCAGTGGGACTGGGGAGGGGCTGGTGGGTAAGACATCAACATCCTCTGCAGTCAACTGAATATTTGCAAAGTGCAGCTGCTGTTGTAAAGTTGAAAGCACAGTGAGTGATTTACGCACAGCAAGATACTATGAATAACAATGCACCGATGACCTGGTAGTAGTTAAGGGATAAACACTGGGTCCAGCCAAGCAGGGAAAGGCCTACATCACTGTGAAAGTAATGGATCAACAGGATTCTAGAACGAAGATGCCATTATTTTGTGGCAGTGTTTTCCAGCAGCAGTCACAAAATGGATTGGACCTGGAGCAAGAGGGGCAATGAAAAATGAGAAAATAACTCCAGAGATGATGCTGGTTGGGCAAGAGTGTTTAGATGAAGACTGCTGAACCGGTGTATAAAGCATACAGCATATACTGTGGTAGGGGGGTACAGACAGCACATAGCACTCACCTCACCTCTGCAACATATCACAAAGGGCAGGATAAACTGTACCAACACTGTACCCAAGACGCAGACAGTACTATTGGCAAACATTCAGAGGTGACGTTCCAGTCACATCTAAGGAGTGTAAATCTTTCATCTATAACTTTCCAAGGTCTCCATGCTCCTCAAATTTTGTCCATATCAACACAGGTTTCGTTCATTCCACTAGTGGCCATGCCTTCGGTTTCTGCACTCTAAGCTCTGGAACTCCTTCCCTAAACACCCATCTCCTCTCTTTCAAGGCTTCTTAAAAGCTACCACATTGTCTAATCTACCAATGTCAGGTTTTCCTCAATAAGTGTTCCTTTGAAGTACCTTGAGAGGATTTACTTTGTTATTTTTTATTTAATCATTCACAGATGCGGGCGCTGAAGTCTGAGGCCAGGGTTTATTCTTCATCCCTAATCACCCTGAGGTGGAGGAGAAGAGCTGGCTTCTGAAACTGCTGTAATCCTTGGAAGGCGAGGACATCCACAGCGCTGTTAGGGAGGGATTGCTGGGATTGTAATGCAACACCACTGAAGGAATTGTAATATATTTCCATGTCAGGGTGGATGCGCAGCTTGGAAGGGAATTTGCTAAAGAAGCTACATAATCACAAGTGATTGGCTACAGCGATTAATACCAGCCCTTCAGAAGTTAACTCAAGGCTCCAAAGCAGACACGGTCTGAAAGAATTTCTATACAAAGTGGTTGCTTTTGGAAAAAATAACATGGAAGATTTTGAATGTAGTTTCCCTCCAAAGGCCCAACAGCAAGGTTTCTCACTCATGAGGGGCCACTAAGAATTCACTGCTCATCTTTGTGATGAAATCAAGGTGAAAGCCAAGTGCAGACCATCTGTGAGAATGGAGGTTATAAAAAGATGGCCCCGGAAATTAGAAAGTGCTTTCAACTGGTGCCAATCATTACTTTTAACCATTATTGATTTTGGGAATGAGGGAATGTTTCAACTTCCTGAGATGAAGCAGTTGGAGCTAGAAGTGGAGCAGAGAGTGGGTTCCAGTGTCACTAGTCAACATCCAGGGGAGTAAGTCAGAAAAACACAAGACTTTTCATCGAGCAGCAAGTTTGACTGGGTAGCATTCATTACACCTTCAGGAGTAAATGGTTAATGAACAATTATACTTTAACACAAATCAGTACTGCTCTGCTGAGTTTTATTGTGGTTTAGTCCGATCATATGTTTAAGGATGTTTGATGATTAACTCCTCACTAGCATGCCCCTTAGTTCTGGATTCACACGCAAGACAAAACGGGTCTTTCCCACATCCATTTTGTCAAAATCATTCTGGATCTTATACCCTTCAATCAAGTCATTCCTCACTGTTCTAAACTCCAGTGGATACAAGCCCAGTCTGTCCAATTATTCCTCATAAGACAACCCACTCCAGATATCAATCTAGGAAACTTCCTGGGTCACATCAAAGGCATCTACATCCTTCCTTTAAAAAAAAACCAAAACTGCACATAGTATTCAATGAGGTCTCACCAATGAGATGTATAACTGAAGTACAACATCCTCACTTTGATGTTGCATTCCTCTTAGAGTAAAGGATTCTTTCACCTTCTTGATCACATACTGTACCCAAATAATATTCTTTTATGACTCATGCACTTGAACACCTGGAACCCTTTCCATCTTAGAATTTTGCTGTTGTTCTCCAATCAAGTAATACTCCGCTCTTTTTATTCTTCCTGTCAAAGTGACATTTTCACATTTTTCCACATTATACTCCATCTGCCAGCATTTTGCTAATTCACTGAATTTATCTATATCTGCCCGAAACCTTAGGTCCTCTGCACAACATGTTTAACTTTGTAGCATTTGCAAATTTAGCCAATGTGCCTTCACTCCTGTCATTTAAGTCAATGATTCAGGTCTCAGTATTTTAAAACTCCTACAGATACCAAATCACAGCTTTTGGGGGAAGGGTTCCAAATCTTCAGCACTCCACTGATGTGTTTCTTGACATCAGTGCTGTACAGCCGAGATCATGTTTTAAGTTCTGATGGCTGCACTCATGCTGCTGCTGTTAAAACATAGTCTATATTAACCCTACTAAATGCCTTATATTCAACAACTCACGCAAATGATTTGTTAAACCTGAAAAACCAAACACACATAATCAGACAGTGTCATAGAGATGGACAGCACGGAAACAGACCCTTCGGTGCAACTCGTGCATGTTAATCAGATATCCTAAATTAATCTAGTCCCATTGGCCAGCAACTCTTATTCATATACACATCCAGATGCCTTTTAAATGTTGTCACTGTACCAGCCTCCACCACTTCCTCTATCAGCTCATTCCACACACGCACCACCCTCTGCGTGAAAAAGTTGCCCCTTAGGACCCTCTTAAACCTTTCCCCTCACTTTAAATCTATGCCCTTTAGTTTTGGACTCGCCCACCCCAGGGAAAAGACCTTGTCTATTCACGCCTCATGATTTTATAAACTTTTGTAAGGTCACTCCTCAGCCTCCAACGCTCCAGCGAAAACAGCCCCAGCATATTCAGCCTCTCCTTATAGCTCAAACCCAGCAACATCCTTGTAAATCTTTTCTGAACGCTTTCAAATTTCACAACATCCTTCCTATAGCAAGGAGATCAGAATTGCACGCAGTATTCCAATAGTGACCTAACCAATGTCCTGTACAGCCGCAGCATGACCTCCCAATTTCTGTACTCAATGTACTGACCAATAAAGGCAAGGATACCAAACGCCATCTTCATTATCCTATCTACCTGTGACTCCACTTTCAAGGAACTATGAATCTACACTCCAAGGCCTCTTTGGTCAGCAACACTCCCCAGGACCTTACCATTAAGTGTGTAAGTCCTGCCTTTGTTTGTTTTACCAAATTGCAATATCTCACATTTATCTAAATTTAACTCCATCTGCCACTCTTCAGCCCATTAACTCATTGATCAAAATCTCTGTTGTAATCTTAGATGACCTTCTTTGCAGTCCACAACACCTCCAATTTTGGTCTTATCTGCGAACTTTTCACATCCAAATAATTTACATAAATGACAAAAAGCAGCGGACGCAGCACCAACCCTGGTGGCTGGTCACAGGCCTTCAGGCTGAAAAGCAACCCCTCCACCACCACCATCGTCTCCTACCTTTGAGCCAGTTCTGTATCCAAATAACTAGTTCATAGAACGATCATAGAATCCCTACAGTAGAAACAGGCCCTTCGGCCCAACAAGTCCACACCGACCCTCAGAGAATCCTACCCAGACCCATCCCCCATAACCCACTTAATCTACACTTCCCTGAACACTATGAACAATTTAGCATGGCCAATCCACCTAACCTGCACATCTTTGGACTGTGGGAGGAAACCAGAGTACACGGAGGAAACCCACACAGACACGGAGAATGTGCAAACTCCACACAGACAGACTTCCATGGAATTGGACCCGGGTCCCTGGCGCTGAGAGGCAGCAGTGCTAACCACGGAGCCACTGTGCCGCGCCAAATACAACAGTCATTTACTCCCTGCTCTCCCTGCATTCCATGTGATCTAACCTTGCTAGGCAGTCTGCCATGAGGAACCTTGTTGAATGCCTTACTGAAGTCCAAATAGATCACATCCACTGCTCTGCTCTCATCAGTACTCTTCATTACTTCTTCTAAAAAAACTCAATCAAGTTAGAGGGGCACGATTTCCCATGCACAAAGCCTTGATGACTATCCCTAATTAGTCCCCACTTTCTCAAATACACGTAAATCCTGTCCCTCAGGATTCCTTCGAACAATTTGTCCACGTATGTCAGGCTCACCAGTCTGTAGTTCCTTGGCTTTTCCTTACGACCTTTCTTAAATAGTGGCACCCTATTAGCCAACCTCCAGTTCTCCGGCACTCACCTGTGGCTACCGACGATACAAATATCTCAGCAAGGAGCCCAACAATCACTTCCCTAGCTTCCCACAGAGTTCTAGCGTACACCTGATCACATCTGTGGAGTTATTCACCTTTGTGTTTTAAGACGTCCAGCACCACCTCCTCTGTAACAGACATTTTTTCAAGATGTCGCTATTTATTTCCCCATGTTCTCTACCTTCCATATCCTTTTCCACAGTAAAACACTGATGCAAAATACTCGTTTAGTATCTCCCCATCTCCTGCGGTTCCACACATAGGTGGCTTTGTTGATCTTTAAGGGTCCCTATTCTCTCCCTAGTTACTCTTTTTTTAATTAAATGCATTTATAGAATCGCTTTGGATTTTCCTTAACCTTATCTTATTCAGCACTCTGGAAAGAAGTCCCTG